CATATATAACAAATCTGTATCAAGCTAAAACAATGGAAGAACTTCGAATGAAGGATGGAGTTATAAACGAACACTTGGGTATTTCCGGAACATTTAGAGCTTTGAATATGGACTAAATATTAGACGAAAAGGATGGTGACAGTTTGGATAAAATCAACGTAAATACAGTGGTGTTGGTTTATCTGTTCCTTATAAATAATTAGAAGGGTCGATGCAAATCTCACAGAAGATCTATCAAGCGTCTAACGGAACTATGCATTAGTACGAAATGTATCATCAGTCCGGTGTTGTATCATAAAATTTTTCAGTTCTGACAATCTGTTATAGGACGCATCTTATGTCCAATATACACTGATCACTGGTGTGCATTGTATTTATAAGAATGATTTTATAGTTTTTATTTATATTAAATCGTTTTCAACATTATATAAATTTAGTTTTATTATTACCATATGCATAACGAGTGATTTTTTAGTATCTTTGGTACTAATACGTAGTAAGTTATGTATCCTCCAAATTTCATATCTCTATTACCAGATTTGCAAATCTGTAAAACAGAGCCTCGAAGTCATCCTCGAGCGCAGCGCTGTGCCAGGATAGATCTTTGATGAAAAGAAACCTTTATTCCCTTTTGAAGTAGGTTTTAATAGATTGAACATCTATAATTTGACAGCGCTGGGCTCAACAATGAGTTCGAGGCTGTTTTTAGAACAAAAGAAAGCAAGCAGCGATTTACACCATAGCTTCCAAGGCGCGATATAACCCAAGTAACATTAGGCGCTAACATAAGATTTAGAACAGATCTACATAAGAGCTAAACAGATCCTGTGGTGTACAATAAGTGCTATCACATGGAGTTATAGGGAGCTATGATTCTACTGTACCCATGGATTGGGCACAAATTCTTATGACCTTAGGTTCCACTATAGCGATATAGTAGAGTTACTGAATTCATTTAAGAGATATAGTATAGTTATTGTGAAGATAGATAAGCGCCGAGTCCTAAAGCGTTCTTAAAGAAGTATTTAAGTATCTAGTGACTCTTCAAGCGTTAAAATAGAGCTACAGGCTACCTTCAGACCTTTGAGTGCTACAAATGAAGCAAATGTATGATTATTAACTCCGTAAGGTTTAAAGTAAATCTAAGATGCATTTTACTAACTCTTTAAGCGGTTATAGGGTGGCAATAAGGTAAATTTTAATACCTTGAGTTGCAGCACAGATCTACAATAGAAATTTTAACGTTTAAAGACATAGTTTTTTACTTTTTTCCTAGACTGCTTAACATTACGTTTTGCCTTAATGTTAAATTGTTCTTTACAAAAAAAATGGCGAAATTAAATGGTGAAATCATAACTTGTTAATGGAAAACTGAAGCGGAATTTTCATTGCGAAAGTAACTTAACTGTGAATGTGGCTATACATTATGAGCATTAAGGGGCTCACACTTAGTTGTGTATTTATCTAAAAGAAAATGTTTCACTACAAGTAAAGCAAAACATTTTTAATAAAAATGTTTTAAAACTTTGCCTATTGATTTAAAAATGTCATGAACCTGTTATCAAACCGCTGGAAAGAGAAATAACTTCATTGTCATAATTTTTTTTTAACTTTTAAAGCACTTTTTAGTCGAGCTAGATTGCGACGCCACTTTATCGATTTACATAAGCGAATACGTGTCCCATTAGAGTTATTCAAGTGGTAATAAACTCAAAAATGAAACTTAAGTTAATATAGAAACTATAGTTGACACTTTGGGATCTATTAATAGGGGGAAATACCTCTAATATACATCCCTAAGTTATACACAGGAGTTATGTATCCCATTAGGAGGAGTTTGGTTTTATAAAAGAGTTAAGAAATACACTTATAGAGCTAGTAACGTTAATTGCTCCCTTTGCGCAACTATCAGCGCTACAAATGAGTTTATAATAGCTGGCCTAGAATTCGAGGAGAATAGTGAATGATAATTTCTTATATAGATTTTATAGTGGTAAGATTCGCTCAAAGCTATAACACAGAAGCTTTGGTCTGTACTGTAGGGATAATAATCGCTGCTGTACGCCTTTAGCCTCCATAAATTGCTCTTATAGACATGTTGTGTCACTATAAGTATTACATTTTATTACTTACTCTCTTTTGTCACCACAACCTATAATTACAACTACTAATCAACTTTTATAACACTTTAGGATCTAAAGTAAGCTCTATTTGCAGCTGTAATGTTAGTTGGGAATATCAGCACAGACAAAGCGTTCATGACGGCGAGACCCGGATGGTGAATCTAAACTACAAGGCACTATTTCACTTAAAATCGCCACTGAGGCGATACAATCTTCTTTATTTATCACTACGGATTAATTCTGAGCATATGCGATGCCAATAATTAAGATTTTCAGCCAATTAATACGCAGAAAGTTTGAGTTCGCGGCGAAGCCATATTCAAACTGACTTTTCTTGTCTTGACTGCTAGATGGCGATAGATATTGCTGTGAACTGTTTGCAAATGCTTTAAGAGAGGTGGGAATTCCGAATCTTACATTAATTATAATAAATTACTGGCGTTTACAACAATACTGCAGCGAATATTTATACGGTGCGTTGTCTTTGTCAGTGAGTATGTGAGGACTTCTCCACTAATATTATAAATGCAAGAGTAAATCGATGTAAACGCAATTTAAATTATATTTGGTAGGTACTAAGATAGATTTGACCTTGAAGGATGACAAAGAAATCATACCTTATACTTTTCGCTGTGGTTCATATTTAGCAATGAAACCTGTCTAAAAACCTTCAAATTTAATTTTAAATTTAAATAAAAATAAAAAAGCAATATATAACCTCAAAATTTAAGACATAATAATATACACCGTTCAAGATTTTATTATTAATAACTGTATAATTTTGTTTTATTTGTAAAATATATTTAAATATAATTTTCGTTAGCGTATTCATATTTTTCTCGCTAAGTACTAGACTTCCGCATAACGTCAAGATGTCCCACCACAGATTATTGTATTTTAATATTATGATATTAAATGGACTTTGTAATAAAACAGAATAGACCGTATTTTAGTTTTAATTTTCCAATAAATTATTCTAGATAAAATAACCGCTGAGGTGCCAGTTGGACAACCTCCACGCGTGCCCAATCTGTTGTCCATCCTCTCTCGCCTGCGTTATGGGAACGATAATGATATTGGAGGGCCGGTGTATTATGGGGGTCAGGTATAAAGTCTCTTCGACAATTTTGAACTGAAACGCTCATGGTCTGTCAAGGGGGTCCCTGCGGGGCGTGCGAGGGACCGATACCTTGGTCCAGGATAAGTAAGATGGGTAAAGTTGGTGTTTCAGAAAGAAACTGGGGCCTGTCCATCCCCGTAAGACTTCGTTCCATCATCTGCTATCCACTCTGTCAGTCTGGGAACTGGGGGTTGAACTAGGCTAGGCATCAGAAGGATTGGGACTGTCGATAACACCATCGCCGATGACAAAAGTCAAGTGTTGTCGCAGACGCCACAGTAGATGGTAGAGGGGGAAGATATATACTGATAGCGCATCTCTTCCCTCTAAAGCGGCCAACAAGGTGATCGACAACCGCCTCCCCGACTGTCTGTGAAAAGCCTCTGATGTACTCGAGTGTGGGTGTCATCGGCCTGAAAGGGGTTGGCTGTAAAGCACTCTCTGCTGGATTCCAGGCCCTTCCCCCAAAAGAAACAGGGTGCTAGGAGGGCATATTGGAAATGTCACGTATGTTTAATAGGTAATTTTTATTTGACTTAGTTCAAATAAAATGCAAATTTCGCTGACATATCAATATTGTTTTTGCAGATGGCAATAAATAGTTAGCGGAAAAGAAATGCATTATAATCATTATTCATACTTTTAAATTCTTACACGCCGCAACCTTTGTTGTATGTTATCGGCAATGAATTAGAATTAAATATAATTAAATATGAGTTTCTTACGCGTTTATAATAAACAGAATATTTCTACCAGTATTAATCACGTTCTTGATCTAAACACTAGTACCGAGCTTTATTTCAATTTAGCATATTGGTTAGATATATGGACAGGGATTGTATACTTACGGGAAAATTCACTATTACAACCTCATCCTGATACACTGTAATATTTCAGGAAAACATATAATTTGGATCAGCCTGGAGCCTTGGATGAGGCTATAGATATTTTTGAGTTTTGGGTGAAGAAACTAAGAAGAATTTCAGTGAGTACATTTACTTCTGAATTAAATAAAATAATATTTACGCATATTATATTTAGTCTAGACGATTAATATTATAGAGTGACTAGATTCACAAAATACAGTTTGGAGACAGGCGAACAAATGGACAGACAAACAGTCGGACGCATAGTGGAGTCGTAGTAATAGGGTCAGAAAAAATATAATTGCGTTCAAAAATTTTACGATATTATAAAAAATTAAGGCCCGTCGCGAGCCAAGCTCGTAGTTTTCACACGCGAGATAAGCCGATGATTGTAGTTTGGTTCGCCAACGCCTCGCAATGTATAAAGGCTTATAAAAATAGTATCACTTTTAGCTCCATCAGTGCGGAAGCCTTTGCAGCATGTTATAATGTTGATAAGATCTTATAGTTATAATTAATTACTTAACTCCTTTAAATAAATTGCTCAATTCTGCCAGTCTGAATCACATTCTTGATTTTAACACTAGTACCGTACTTTAGTATTTACCGGTATTTTTTTAATTTAGTAAGATTTTTTAACTTATAACAAAAAAATATGAATGCAAAATTCATTAAAAATAATCATTTTAATATTCATAATTATATTTAATATTATTTATCGTCGCTTGATCTCTATTATAAATATTGTTTTTATTACTGAATTAGCTATTCTAGCGAATTTTGATTGATTTTGTCAGTTTCCATCGCATTTCGGTTCAGGTGTGAGTTTTAAGTTCTAAGACGACGATTAAACTGATTTTTTATTATAGTGGGATCTTTAAGTGTACAGCTATGGAGTGTCTACCAGATATCCCTCTATTAAAATTTCATCCTGATACACTGCAATATGTCAGGGAAACTTATAATTTGGCTCAGCCAGGAGCCATGGATGAAGCTGTCGATATTCTTGAGTTGTGGGTGCTGAAGCAGCAACATTTCACTAAGAAGGATTTCAGTGAGTATATTTAGTTATATATATAATTTAGAAAAACGATTGGTCATTTGTTAACCAATGAACGAAATACATATATTGATGAAAAATTCATGCAAAACACGTTTACAAGCACGGCTCAAGGATTCACTGTCAAAAAGTTTGCCCAAACCTGCGTTCATAGTGTTTCTAGCTCGGTATGTAGCTCGGTGGCGTCGTTAATACCCTCCGATCTGCATTGGGCCAGCGAGGAGGGTCATTACCTATCCTCCTTTACCATCCATAAGAAAGGCCTGAGCCCCTGTAGTAGGGCCGTAAAGAGGCTAATGATAACTGTTTTTAGCGCCTAGTCTTGATACCATGTCAATTTGTTACTCAACTGATAGTGCATATCAATATTGAAGTATTATCAAGCTAGAATACGATTTTATTTTAACAATAAACTTTAGAAAAGGATGGTATATTTTTAGAATTGCAAAATAAAATGTCATGTTGACTACTAAACACCGTAAGTGAATATTTGTATTTCATTGTACTTTATTTTATAGACAATGTTCTATAAAATATTGATTCATACACATTTTTTTGCATATTATCATTTCAATAATATTCATTTCAAATAAAGCAAAGAACACTTGTTTCAAAGAAAATTACAGAATAAATTTTTGTTACAATAACAATTTATTATTTCGTTATTCATATGATACAATAATAAAGGAAAAGTGTTTGTCCTCAAATTGTTTAATTGAAATGAAACTTATTACAAAGTAAAATATATTTTCTCGAATCATAATTTCAAAACGTTTTAATGTAGGCAATTCATATCTTGTCAATTTCTGTTGGCATCGCAGTTCTAATCTAAAATCGAATCTACGAATACGCAAACAAGATTTTGTATCTCACTCACACTCTTGAACCTCATTAGTTAGTCTTGATCTTTACGTTATTATTCGCTTTAACCACAGATTTACATTAACCTTAACCTACCCACCTTTAAACAATTACATACCTGTATATTTATTAATAAAAAAAATCTAATGATCTTTTATAATTGTTTTCTTGTATGTTCACAACATTAAAGCCCACTACTCATATAACCTCAAGGATATATTTTATTTGTCAAATAAACCAACGTTTCTAATATAACTCGTTTTTAAATTGAAGTCAGTGTCATAATTGAACCCCAGATAATTTATAATGACTTGATGTTATATGAAATGTTTTGATTTCGGATTTTAGAAAGGATGGGACTGTTTAAAATATTAAAAATGTTTCAAAATATTGGAATACTATTTATATTTCCAAGGAATTCCAAATTTAATATTAATGACAGCGTGTCGTATTTTTTAATATTGAATATGTCGGAGGGTAGTCAGAAGGAGCCCAAATAGATCGTCCATATCGGGGGACTATCTTTAAAATAACACTGCAGGCGTGTATACCAACGTGGATTTATTCCATGTTATCACTTTTCATACGAAAATATAACGAGATGAGCGTGATGTCGTCGGATGTCTTTACTCCTCGGCGATCAGAAACAGAATGCGTGCCAAAATGGCGGCAACTTGCTTTTTGTTAACAAACTGTCAAAGTCAGTGTCACCATTCTAATAAAATTAAAAGTATCGATGATCACGCTCTCTCTACAATCGAGTAATTAAGTAATCGAGTAACTAGCAATAAAAATAAAAGTAACTAAATCAAACGATCTTCGTAATGATGATGCGACAAATTTTTGATTTTCCGTGTATGTTAACTGACATTTTTTTTTAATAATAAAAATTGTGTTATCGACAGGTATAATAATTATACTGTGCAACGTTTCCGAGATTATAATCAATAAAAGCTTGCTATAGTATTATAATAATAACGCCTTTTCTCATTGAATCATAAAATGACCAATATTTATTCTAGTGCAAAATATGTAATTAAAACTATCATATAAGTATATGGTCAACTACTAGTAGTGTGAATTCAATGTTACGTTAAACGCTTGACTTGTTTTACGTGGAACATTGATTAAACTCACCTTGAATGACAAGGTCTGTAGGCAGCAACTATATGATTTTATTATTTCATCAATAGATGGAGTAAATGTCAGATTTTAACTGGTGAATAATAAAATGTCCATATTGTTTAACAATTAACAACTTTGCTATTTGCAAAAAATAGCAAAGTTTTCATATTTTTTTTAAATATTATTGTTGTCATAGAATCGATGATAAATATTTATTTTGTTGAGCTTCTCCATTCTACGGAAAGCATGTTGATAATCTGTTGGTATTGGTTCGATCAATTTTATCTATTACGTTAATTAAAGCTTAAATAGATCTAGGATCATTATTCATCCATTTACATTTTCATTTTTTTTATTGATTTGTACAAGGGCTGACGTATGTTTCGGGTCTAATTCAATCCATAGGGAAAGCTTTTGCACCATCAATAGAAATATTACTAGGTTGACGAGATGATAATGATTTTATTATTAAAGTAACAAGGGATATTTGCCCTATTTTTTCAGATCGTGACTATTTAGAAAGAACGATAATAAGAGCAAAAGGCTCAGTAGAACGTGCGAAAGAACGTATCGACAAAATATGTACCTCAAGAACACAAGTACCGCAGTTCTTCACAGATTTAGACCCCAGGACTCCTCTTCTTGCAGAAGCGTAATGACATAGATATTTTGTTATTAGTAACACATATTATTCTCAAAGGTGTAACGGATGGTTACAATTATTTTACGTCCCCACTGCTGGGGCTCAGGCCTATCTTAAGGATGGTTGGAGAGGATAGGCCATGATTCTCCACCCTGGTCAAATGCGGATTGGAGGGTATAAACGACTGCAAGTGTAACCGGGATTGATGGCTTGACGTACTTTCCGAAGCAAGGAGCATCTCGAAAAGAGAGATGGTTTAGTGCTTCTCTAACAGCCAATTGCACAAACGTCCATTAAAATTGTCATTAGTTTAAAGCGACATTACCGATATAAATATGATATTAATTTGAGCTTTAAGGAGTCATTAAACCTTAATGGACGTTTGTGCAAATGACCGTAAGACTGTTAAATTAAAACACGCTGTCTATATTTCAGACAAGATGCTTTTCTGCCAAAGTTAACGAAAGACAACTATAGAATTTATCTTATAAATAACAATGTAAAAGATTTTGGCCCAGAAGTTCACGAAGCATTTTACAAGCGTTTCTTTTCTGTAAGTACCTATTATTAATTATTTGCATATTCAATTATGTTCAAAGATCTTCAAGCGCGTATAACTCAGTCTTCATTTATTCATTTGAAATTATCATATAACATTTTTATAGAGTAGCAAAACACCCTATATTACCGAACATCATTTCATGATCCCATGGGTACTATGCTCAGAGATTTTATTTTTAATTAACGCAACTTAACTATTTCTCTATTTCTTTATATTATTTTTTACTTATATATTACTATTCTGTTAATAAAAAAATTATACCAGATATCATCTCTGTCACTGGAATTCAGCCCTAAAATCGCAAGCAGAAGAGTTCAAAAATCAATTATCATTTTATTCAATTGTTTCATTCTTTTCTAGATGTGGGAATATATCTGCGCATACGATTATCCGTGTGGAATAATAATTATTTTGGACTTTCGACCAACGAATCTCTTTGAGTTTACTAAATATTTGAACATAGCTGATTTGGGGCACGTATTTAATCTTATATTTGTAAGTGTTTATAATATTTTATTTTAAACTAGTGGCCGCCAGCGACTTCGTCCGCGATTTTCATTATTTCTTCGCTTCTAATAGTTGCAGCATGATATTATATAGCCTAAAGCCTTCCTCGATAAATGGTCTATTCAACACAAAAATATTTTTTTAATTCGAACCAGTAGTTCCTGAGATTAAAGCGTTCAAACAAACAAACAAACTCTTCAGCTTTATAATGTTAGTATAAAAATGTCGTTACTCTTGGTTTATGTACACATAGGATTATTATATGTGATTTCCTTAAATACCTCTACGAGAAAATATTTAAATCTTATATCATATTCTACAGAATAAATATTGAGATAACTTTCGGAATAAAACTACCAATACAAAATATATATATATACGAGGAAGCGTAGGCGAAGGTCAGATCTTATTATGGTGTAAGATTTATAAAATATAGATATATACTTATTTCATATGAAAAACATTGTACTTTATTATTTATTTATATAAGGTACATTCAATATAAAATATGTATAATTTCAGACTGGTTATGGGTTCAGGCTAAAAGGCATGTATATGATGACAACTTCCAAGCTCGTGGATTCGGTACTGAAAATTTTTAAACAAGTGGTAAATAAGAAAATTGCCGACCGTATCCAATCCATAAAAAACCTGGAAGAGTTATACGATTACGTCGATAGAGATATTTTACCAGAAGAGTATGGTGGTAAAGAAGTATCAATAACCGAACTACATAGTAAGTAGACATAAAAATAATACATATAAAAGGCTATTTAATTTTTTTATTGAAGCAGTAATAATTGCAGCAGTCGGTAATCGCTTGTGTTCACTTATCATATAAATCTTAATCTTGAATCTCTCTAATTGATGTAAACCCCTTGAAAATCTAAGTATCATAACTAGCGTAGTTTAAATTATCTCAGCATACAGACAGCGAGTAGCGACTTTGTTTTAGACTATGTATGTATAGATTCAAATATAATAGTTACTATAGATATTTTATAGGTTGATTGTTTCCATAAAGTTTATATTCTGTTTTTTAAGTGTGTAGTCATCCACCATTAGGCATACACCTCTCCAATCTCTTTCCATACGATTCTATTTTCTGCTACCTTTTTCTCGAATTGAGATCCATTTTTAGATCGTCGCCCCATATCGGGCAAGTAGTCTACCAACACTTTTGTTCCTCAAAGGGGGTCTCCAAGAGGGTTATGTTGTTTCTAAAACAAATCCAAAAACATAAAAAATGTAAAAATCTCTGAGATGATGTGGATCGGGTGTAATAAGACTGGGCGAAAAAAAGCAGCTCCTACACAGTTTCTACCTAATTCTTTTCAGTATAAGATCTTCACGCCCTAAAATTGCAGACCCATGACATAGAGTTTCGATATTTACTGCCTTAATGGAATAAATTATACTTATTTTATATATTAGATTTATCTTATTATGCTATTTCTTAATTCAGCATATAAATGTTGAATTAAGCTGAATTAAGCGTATTTTTTTGTTTTTTTTATACAGAAAAATGGATTGATGCACTCGACTCAAAGGAGTTTAATGCACATATTACGAATATGTATCAAGCAAAAACAATTGAAGAACTTCGAATGAAGGATGGTGGTAAAAGTGAACACTTGGGTATTCCTGGAACATTTAGAGCTTTAAATATGGACTAAATATTTTTTTGTGTTGATATTTTAAAATGGTGATAGTTTTAATCGAATCAACGTGAATTATGGGTGGTGATTTTGTATAGTGTTATTCTTAATGAAAAATGTATAGTCTTTTATTAGTGTATTTCTTTATCAGACTCTGATTAACAAAGATAATTTTTTTACAATTTTTGGAATATTTATATCTGATGGAAAAATATAAAAACTCAATAGCGCCAATTATAAGTCTTCACAAATAAACATAAGAATACAAATAGATTATTGAGTATTTAGAGTTAAGCTTGACTCAAAATGTAATTAAACATAACTTAAACAGGCTTGTGAAACGAAAGAAGTTAAATTATTGAGAACAATCAGTTGAAATTGTAAAATGACATGAAAGATATAAATATGCTAATAAGTAGACCACTTTAATTTTGAAATAAATTTTCATTATAATTTTTTTTTTATCCTGGAATGGTTGTACTCAATAAGTTTAAATCAATATTTTGACGTAAGGAATTGAACAGTTTGGGTACTCTGTTTATAAATGAATTAGAATGGTAGTTCGTTTTTGAGAGAGTTACATAAAGAAGTTTTGTATGTTGCGTTGTTTTTATGGGTGTTTTTAAATAAAAACTACTTAGTACTTCCGGAGAATCAATATTACCTTGAAATATTTTAAGGAGAGACACTACATCTGATATTTCTAAGTTTTTTAAGAATATACCTTTCATTATATTAATATTTAGTAGTGGTATGTAGTCAATGGCTCGCACGCCGGTTTTAAGGTGTCGCCATCTCTGAGGTTTTGGGTTAAATTTTCGGTCGTATTGATCTACTTCTAGAGAATGAAGAACGTCCACACTTAGGCCCGCTTTTCGGAGTCGTCCCAGGTAAAGCGGAAAGCCCTGGTTTAATGCTTAAGGTACATCAGTGTCAACAAAAAGAAGGCAATCAGGCCTTGACTTAGGCGACCCGGGCAAAAAATGAAATAAGCCGCCTTAAATACTAACAAGAATAAGTCTTTAACTTGACCTTAATACTGGAAAAGTTTAATATTCTACTAAAGCTTTTAAAGTGTATAAAAGTAGTACATCGTAAGGGTTTTTTTGTTAAGAGAGAAACTTGTGGATTTGAGTTTGACTGATGCTCTCACTTTTGCCGCTCAGAGCAATTGCCCAGCTTGCTTCCCTAAATTGGGCCCTGTAGTTATGATAAAGTTTGTGGTGGTTGATTATATGAAGTAGGCGTATCTATATGAGTAACGATCAATCTTTGTTTGACTATGTCTATGATCGATTTAATCAGCCAGTACTTAAAAGGTTTTGTATTTAAAATAAACTCAAAATCTATAACTACGACTTGATTTGAGTATTAATTCTACAATATATAATTCAAAATTCATTTTATCTATTTGATGTTACAATTTATTTTAAATGTTCAAGGTATTTTCTTTGATTACCCATTCAATAATTATCTGAGCGTCTAGACAACTATGTAGCAGCAATTATTTTCAAAAACAATTTCAATTTTCAGTATTGTAACAAATCATTTGATAAGGATAACAAACAAACCTAATGAACTTGAAAGTGATAAAATATGAAATTGATATTAAGATTGCGCCATAAGAATGCTCAATTAAATTTTCTCAACATCAGGCAATTTGGGAGCATATTTTGCATAAATAGTTTTATGATATTTAGCTAAATTTAAATAATTTTCAGGGGTCCATAGACCAAAATGATTTAAAAGACACTGATCTACAAAATCTAGAAAACAGTTGCGTAGATTACATCTAAAAATGCTATATATATATTCGTTTTATACAAAACTTATACTGATACTTTTATATCATTCACGTTGACATTTAAGTAATCTTAATTACAAATAAACATTACTATCTCTAGCTTTGTGTAAACTTTTGTCCATTATTATTGTTAATTAAGTCAAAATATTTATTTTTGATACTAAACAATTTATATTTAAATGCACGTAATGCCATTTGATCAGTCTGGATCACATTCGAGATTTGAGTGCAACTCAAAATTTATTATTGTTGAATATTTTGATATAATGGAGTATCTATCTAATGACCCGCTATTAAAATATCACCCTGACACACTGCAATGTGTAAGGAAGTTATGCAATTTGGATAATCCAGGAGACATGGATGGTGCTATTGATGTTCTTGAGTCGTGGGTGCAGAAACAGCAACAATTTACTAAAAAGAATTTCAGTAAGTATGTTCACATGAAGATAGTAAACAGGTTGAAATCATATGCCTGGATATTTCACTATTTTAAAAAATATTAGATCATGTGGTAAAATTATTTGTTAATATCATACAATCACTCATTAATATTAAATTTTTGTTTTATAAAAAAGAATTTTTTTTTGAAATCCATTAGTGTAAATAATTTATGGAATATAAAATGAAGTTGTCACCATCTTTAAAGTCCCTGGTTTGATTCTTGGTCGGGACAATATAGAAGTAGTGGAATTTTTATATACGAGGGTCAAACTGAAAGTTCTTAGAAAATCAAAAACTGATTACATTAGCCAGTTATTAGTTTTATTATATCTTTTCAAAATATTGTCCATTCACGTCAATACACCGCTGCATGCGATGGAACCACTGGGAAAAGCACTTTGCCCACTCGTCCTTAGGGGTCTCTTCAATGGCATCGCGATACGCAGCCACCGCTTCTTCAGCATTCATAAACCGCTTTCCTTTAAGTTTTTCTTTAATTTTTGGAAATAAATAAAAATCACAAGGCGCGAGGTCGGGGCTATACGGCGGGTGACCCAGTAATTCAACGTTTGATGTCGCCAAATAGTCGATCGTTCGCTTGGCGGTGTGCGACGAGGCGTTGTCGTGGTGAAGGAGGATCCTACTGCGAGGTCGTTTCTCTCGAACTTTTTCCAAGACAAGTGGCAAACAATTGGTAGTGTACCATTCTACAGAAACTGTTTTTTGATCCTCTAACACAATTGTTGCAAAATGACATATCCTTCCAAAGAACGAGGCCACCATTTTTTTTCCCGCACTTCGATCTCTCTTCACTTTAGTTGGCAACTCCTCGAAAGGAAACACCCACTGAGCAGATTGTCTTTTGGTTTTAGGATCATAACAGTAAATCCAGCTTTCGTCACCTGTTAGTATGTCGAACACAGCATTTGAGTCACCTCCGTTAAATCTTTCAATCATTTTACGACACCAATCCACACGATGGAGTTTTTGAGCCTCAGTCAAATTATGAGGTATCCACCGGGCGCAAAGCTTCCTGACCGCTAAATGTTCGTGGAGGATTTTGTGCACTTGACTCATACCGATGCCTAAGCTTGTCCGAATCTGTTGATAGGTCACTCTTTTGTCAGTCTCTATCATACGCCGCACAACACAGATGTTATCTTCAGTCGTCGCCGTAGAAGGCCGTCCCTCACGTAAATCATCAGTGAGATTAGTGCGACCACGTTTAAACTCATTAAACCAGTTGTAAACAGTCGCACGAGATGGGGCTTCATCGTGAAAGGCCAATCGTAGTCTATCATAACTTTCTTGTTGACTTAAATGACATCGAAAGTCATAAAAAATCATTGCACGAAAATTTTCTCGTGTTAAATTCATGATGACGTGACACAGACAATTTTCAATTTGCCGCCAAATCGTAAAACAAATGACAAATGAATGAAATATATACTCAGTAATATTGGCAAAGAGTTATATTTTCAAATTTTAGAATTATTTTTTTATTATATTGTTTATAAGTGGCCAGTTCTAAGAACTTTCAGTTTGACCCTCGTACTGTCTAGTTTGTAGATATCCATAATACAGATACTTTAGCTAATATATTTATGATCTAAGCAATGTATGCGATGTTTTCTTAATAATTATTTATATATATTAAGGTAGTTGCTAATGTTCTCTAAAATATTGCAGGCCGTGAATATTTAGAGAGAACCATAATAAGAGCAAACGGATCAGTAGAACTTGCAAAAGAACACCTTGATAAACTTTGTTTATCAAGAACACTATTACCAAATTTATTTTTCAACTGCGACGTCGGAACTCCTTTGCTTGAAGATGGGTAATATATTCATCAGCTAATAATTTGTTGCTTTTTTGCTTTAAAATATCTGTATTCATTTTTTTTTATAGTTCCTGACAATTTTTTAAGTAAATAATGTTTTGATCAGCATTAGATATATGACAATTTCTTATGAATTGTATTTATTACTCAAATAAATAACTCAATTCTGGATGCATATTTAAATAAAATATGCTGTTAATGATAAATGCTTAAAAATCCCCTTTTCAGAATCTGGGCTAACGAATTTTTCAAGCATTTGTTACTTTTATTTGCTACTACAGAGCGTATTTTCATCAATGTTCATATATTTGAAAATATCATGTTAGCTTGCTTTGCAAGCAATTAGATGCTCCGTTTGATTTGCTAGCTTCGCAAAGCGTGGTCATAAATATCTCACCTGACTTAATCTCTTTTCTAAAGAAATGATTCTTCTGAAAACTCTTCACTTAACAAAACAAGTATCAGCTTGATTTAGCTTCTTACTAACATATCGGATTCATCGATATCCCAATCAACTTGTTCTCTAATTTTGTATCTCCATCTTCATTCTTTTATATAAGTACACTTTTATGACTGACCAATTTATTGAATAAATTATAATCATAGTCATGATCAAGCATTTTTTTTTTGCAGAGACGATGCGATTTTACCGACGCAAACAAAAGATTACTTTAGAGTATATATTGGACAAAATAAAATCAAACATATGAAGTCCGAAATGTATGATGCATACTACAAGCGTTTTTTCCACGTGAGTACCAATAATACAAAAAAATATTTATAAATGGCAACAATAGTGTACTAATCGAATTTAAGGTTTTTTTTATATTAATATTCCTCAGTTGGAACAGAAAGAAACGACTTCGATGAATATCTTTTCAAATAAAACGGGTGATTCTATTATAGAGTGTTTTGCTATAAAATGTTTAATTTTAACATTTTGCTAAGCTTTGCACCCTCACATGAAAACAATATTTATAATAAAGTTATTTAATTGACAAGTGGTTTTTAATTGTTTTTGTAGATTTTAGAATATCTCTGCGCTCACGATTACTCATGTGGATTAATATTGATTTACGACTTCCGATATACAAATCATTCCGAGTTTGCCAAATTAATGGAGAAAACTGTTTATGCGGACTTTTATAATATAATTTTGGTAAGTACTTGATATATACTTAAACTTATTATAAATAAATAGTGCTTGAGCTTGAACCTCAATTGAATTGACAGTATTACGTAATTTGAATATGCTCCATCACATTGTTTTCTTTTAATATCCTAGCTAACTCATTTTTTATTTCATTGCGCTATCTCATTAAAGTTATAGTTATTTACAAGATTGCTTACGTGTACCTTACATTTATCGAATTTACGATATTTTGGCACTGTTGCAAACACCATGATCAAGAACTAATTGAAGTCTTGCGGACGTTACAGGCATATTGCCGGTTACAGTTAATATATGAGTTTAATATGAGTAGCTCAGTGGTGTAATGGATAAGTGCTGAGGTCCACGATCGTTGTCGCTAAGCAACTTTCGCAAGGATCGGTCACGGGATGGGTAACCAAAAAATTATTATCTTCGTGCGAGTTTCTCCGTGCTTCGGAAGGCACGTTAAGCCATTGATCCCGACTGCATTTGCAGTCGCTAATACCCTCCAATCCGCATTGGGCCAGCGTGGAAGGTCATTCCTCCTTAACCATCCATAAGGAAGGCCAGAGCGCCTGCAGTAGGGACGTAAAATGGCTGATGATGATAAATATAAGGTCCTTTGTAGCAATCTCGCAAATTTTAATATAGCTGACTATGAAATTTTGAAATGACACTCTTGAATACATTTGCAGAATGGTTATGGATTCAATATAAAAGGCATGTATATTATTGCGACTTCAAACCTTGTAAATTCATTTGTGTCATTGGTAAAAGAAGCAGTAAGTAAAGAAGTTGGCGAAAAAATCCATGTCTTGAAAAATGTGGAAGAGCTTTACAGTTATGTTGATAAAGATATTTTACCGGAAGAATATGGTGGTCAAGAAGCATCGATATCTGAATTGCACCGTGAGTATAAAGATATGAAATGTTTTGGAAAGATAGGATATAGGTATACTTGTAATGTTTGGGATGAAAGAGTTAATTGATCATACGTTCTAATACATCTTTGATGAAGAGATGTTTGATCGAATACACGTAAGTGCTAAATCTCAGTGGATGTCATGTTAACAATGTCAGCAAAGTTTCTGTGGTAAATATGGATTTAATGCTATACGGACAGTCTGATTGAACAAGCGTTATCTGGAGCTATTGCATTAAAAACCAAGAATAACGTTTAGTACATACACATCTTGAGTGTCCGTCTATCTAAACGATACCTTAAGCAAATGCAAATGTGCACATTTAAAATTAAACTATTTTTTTTTTGTGACTTTAACATCACCGGAAAAATCCGAAGTGACTGACAAACTGATATAGACAAAGAAAAAATTAAAAGTAAATACTAACTGATTTATGTTTTGTTTACAGAAAAGTACGTCAACGTAATGAGCTCAGAGGGTTATAGAAAGTATATTGCAACTATGAGTCAAGCAAAAACTATAGAGAATGAAGGATACTTTTAAAAATTTGATTACTTTATTATTATAAATACTTCGTTCTCCTTTCTTTTCTCCTAAAGTTTTGCCTAATATAATAAGAGAAGTTCGCATTTATGATGTTGAAGAATAAGACCTAGAGAAATGTTAAGAATGGTACAACAGGATTGTCACAATTTCGCTGTATTTTTTTTGTCAGTGCGTACATGTTATAAATATACTATTAATGTAGACTGTGTATTTCTGCTCATTTATTCATATTATATATAACTGATAATTTATTGGTCATGATAGTCTTCTTTTTACTATTCATTTATTAAAATAAATTGTATATTTAGAAGTATAATCATAGTAATTTTACTGTCACCTCTGAAGTCTGAACAAATATTGATTAATTTTATTCAATTCAAACACTTGCAAAATCGAATTATTTTTTATTTTCATACAAATATATGCTAAATAATAAACGCTTGTATTCAAGTTTAAATTTCAACGTAGCGTATTTCTTATGTATGTAAAAGATCAGGTATTACCTTCCCCCTGCAGTGGGGACGTAAAAGTGCTGATGATGATGAAGCTATTGCAATTAATATATATGCCGCATCATCTTTACGAAGATCGTTTGATTAAGTTTCTTTTTTTTTAAATTGCTGGTTACTCGATTACTTAATTACTCGATTATAGAGAGGGCGTGATCATTGATACTTTTAATTTTATTAGAATGGTGACACTGACTTTGACAGTTCGTTAACAAAAAGCAAGTTGCCGCCATTTTGGCGCACAAAATCATAGGTGTTTCTTTTGTTTTGTATATAAATAATTCTTAATGAGAGTACTAAGAGTATGTTGTACGTACCTACGTTACGTACATACGTAATTAAGATACGTTGAGTGAGACGTATGCACTATACCGCTGGTTTTTATTGCATCTGGCATAACCTTCCCATAGCATGTGGTCTATTTTATTGTAAAAGGTGTATATATCCGACTTTTACGTTGTATATCAGTTTTGCTATTCATGATATATTTTTTTCTCTTTTAATCTGATAACATCGGAGATAAAAATAAGAAAGATGTCTTTAAACACGTTCCTACTTATTCTTAATGTGCACAAGGACATCGATAACAGCTTGCTGTCAATATACATATAGTTTGTTTACTTACAAATATAAAAAGGTTTGTCGGCGCATTGATTGTACCACGAATATTCGATATTGATTCCTAAAATGGAGGAATGAATTATTATTCACTCTGGTGAAACGTCAGATGGTCGGCCATTATGTCGTGATTGTTTGATTAGAGGCGATAGAGGTCGGACGTCATCGACGGAGGGCGTGATCATCGATACTTTTAATTTTATTAGAATGGTAGCACTGACTTTTACAGTTCGTTGTTTTGTATACACGCCTGCAGTGTTATTTTAAAGATAGTCCTCCGATATGGACGATCTATTTGACCTTCGTAATAGCCTCTTCTGACTACCCACCGTCAGGTTAAGAAATATTAAAATAAAAATTAGATCACCAGTTTTAAATAAATGAAATAAAATAATGAAAATGTGTTTTATTAACGATACTATTAACATTTGTTTACTAACAATTTATTAATGTAGATAAACAATATAGATTTCCGTCAGTGGCTTCGCCCGCGTAGTCCCTAGGGAACTATTTAGTGGGATAAAAAGTATCCTATTATCTAAGTCAGACTATCTGTCTACCAAACTTCAATAAAATCCGTTCAGAAGTTTCGGCGTGATTGACGGACAAACATCCAAAAAAAGAAACTTTTACATTTATAATATTAACACGTTCGAAGCGGCACCGATTTTTCTGTTCTTTCCATTCCTGCGGTATAGAGCGTTTTCAACCTGGCCATAAAACTATCATTGTGGCGGCACTGGGCTTATAAAACCCTGTTACGTTGAAGAAACTAAAATCATTTTTTTTGCTTAATGTTAATAAATTCTATTGATTTTTGTCTTGAATATTATAAATAATGAACTGTTTTATATAAATCAGAAGGCGTACTTGAACAGCTTATTTAGTTTAGAATCTGTAGCTAAAATAAAATACAAGATCTTATGCTTCCTGTGCGGCACTGAATTGGGGATGGCGAACTTTATTTATGGTTAATTATAAGAAAAAGAAAAGAAAATACATATTTAGTTAATAGTTCACTTACATTTAAATTAACGATCTATTGGTCTATCTATACTAATATAATATAGCGAAATTATTTTTATACGATCTCATATCACACATGTATAACGTAGGATCAAGCTAGAAAAAAAATAGGTTTTGGTTTAAAACACTCAGAATGATTATAATATAAACATTCTCCGTATTATAAAAAAAATTAGGCACAATTTGTACCTACTAAATCTAAGAAAGTAAAATAAATGTTAAAGATAACTTACTTGCCTTTGATAAATCTGTCTGTAATTTGACTACATTTTGTTATTCGTATCAGTGGTTCTTCATGTATCAGTGTCATCATTAATGTCGAAGTTTAAATTCATTCTTTTACGGCACCGTTTTGTCGTTCTCTGTGACATTTCTACACGTGCGTTCTTTCGGATGCGATCACAACACTGGCCGTGTAAAGCTAGCGCAGGGCGCGGTACCGGGTGCGCTAGGTTACAAGGACTGTTCGACCATGTTTCGCACTGTATTAAAATTTCATTACTTAAGTGCAGCACGAGATTTAGGAAACCCGGTACACCATTAAATTCTACTTTAATATTACATCATAGATGTATATTTATCTCTTTCCTACACCGAACCAAACTGAAGTTATGCCTTTCGCACGACAGAGAAGTCTATGTTTTTCTTAGTAGCACTGCAAGCGGATCATTGACTAGGTGTTTCAAACCTGGTTCCGCACTCAACGTGTTAATAGGATTGTTATATTTGATCAATTTTGCATTCACAATGCTATACTGGAAAATATTTTTAATGAAATATGCTTAAAAAATCTACCAGCCTTAGGTATTCTGAGGTGGAATCGAAGAGAAGTATATTATTCATTTTCTTTTCATTTTCCAGGCCCGAATATTTAGAAAGAACCATAATAGCAAAGGGATCAAAAAAACTTGCAAAAGAACACCTTGATAAATTTTGTATATCAAGAAAACTATTACTAAATTTATTTCTGAATTTTGACTTAGGATCTCATATGCTTATTATATCGTTGCTTATTTAATGTCTTTATCGATAAATATTTTTTCAAGCTATTTCTTCTTTAAGCGTTATTTCCCAGTAAATACCAAAATTATAAATAAATAAATTTATATGAATATAAGACAACCTTAATCAAAAGACTGATTTAAAGGAAAGTAATTATTTTGATTTTCATCTGCTAGAACAGAAAGATATATGTTCAACAAATATTTTTTAAAACAAACTCTGTAGTAGACTGTACTTTGTTGTATAAAGATTAATTTTAATATTTTGCTAAGCTTTACTTACCTTGGGAAGTTAAAACATGATTGAATCATGATTGTCCAAACGAATAACCGTCACCCGGAGCTACCGTAACGAAATCAGTAAATGCGCTTAATAAAACACGACTCTTGGAGCGTCCGTCTATCCGGAGGAAACCCATAGGATATCCGACTCCGTACTCAGGATCTCTAAATATCACTATGGATTTCTCTCTCTCTTTCATCAATATACGTAGAAGTGTCATACGTCGATCGACAGGGAACTAAGAATTGGACTTCATCTGGCAGCATGGTATCTCCTTTTTCTATCGACTCATCCTTATCAGAATGGCAATTAGCTAAAGCGAAAAAGTAAGCATAGTACCAGATTACCCGACTGGTAGGTCGACAAACCGAATGCACTGTGTACGGATCGTCCATCTAGCATTAATACAACCTTACTGTTTTCGTCCGTGTGACGCCAAAACCAGCTACCAAAGTGTAAGCCAGATGAAATTAGTATGACAACTAGCATGACATAACGGTGATTTACAAGCATGTGTTTGCTTGAAATAGCCGTCGCCAAGTCGACGCTTAGTGAGTATTTTGTACATTGTAACACTATTTGATAGATTTTGATTAGCAACATTGCTTAGTTTTGAGCATTTGCATCTTAATGATATATTACTCTTAGGTATTTCAAAATCCATAAGCATTTTGATATTTACCATATTGTGTAGTAAGCAAGCTGTAGATATATCAAGCTGTGTATATTGTGTAGCATTTTGTTTGCCATGCTCCCGATAAATAATAAAATAGATACTATCCATGTTTACTTCGAATTCACAAGCAAAGAGTCCAGATGACAAACGTTATATTCTCTCTCAGTATTTGAGTAACATCTTAATTTATATCTTGACGGAGCGCTTTCTACGTATGCAAGCTTAGATTTTACGCCGTCGTGTCTGCATTCCGACGATGATCTGGTCAAAATTCCCGATCATAATCTGATTCTGAATGCTCATAAAAAAAATAAAAACAAGCGGTTCGAAACGAACTCAAACAAGTTTTCTTCGTTTTTCTTCATTTGTCCTCTACATATATTATCTCTATGCTCGCACATCGCCCTTGGACCATAAATATACATGTAGGTTGATTGACTTATATTTTGTTTCATAGAAAAATACGTTGAATTAATGAGCTCAGAGGATTATATAAGTATATTTCAACTAAGAGTCAGGTGAAAACTATACAAAATTAAACCAAGACCTCTTCCTCCTTACTTTTTCTTCAAAAGTTTCACATATAATCGTAATAGTAGTTTATATTTACAACGTCATAGATCATGATCTAGATAGCTAATTGAGAGCATGGTACAACAGGATTCCTAACAGGGACAAAGCCCCTATGTGTTGGACCGACTAATTTCGCTCTGCACTCGACTCCACTATCGGCGACGCCATCCATATCGCAGAAGACAGATCCAGGTGACGGAATATAATCCGAAAAATAATGCTACACGGAGATCACGACCGTCAGCATTGAGGATATCGACCCAAGGAGGAGGACAACGGGATTGTCACAAGTTTGTGTTTTTTTTTGTCAGTGCGTAAAAGTTATATTTTTTTTTATATTCCAACTGATAATTTCTTTGTCTATGATTGTTTCCTTTCCCTATTTTATTTTTCTTTTTTATTTTATCGAAATATATTATCTATTTATAGGTAAAATCGAAATTTTACTGTTATATCAAAAGTCTAAAGGGTATGAAGGTCACGCAAGTATGTGTATTTTTCAATTCAAACACAAAAATCGAATTTTGTTTGTATGCAAATATACAAGCATTGGCATTGTAATTGATTGCGAAATAATAAACGCTATTATAAAAAAGGTGAAATTATAATATGGTCGTTTCATTTTTATAGGATATATTAATTAGCCGTTAAATTTTTAATTCAAAAATGTGGTATTTCAGTAAATATATAAAAGGAACTTTCAAAAACCTACTGAAATTACATATTAATATTTTATATCTATCTTATAAGTCTTTTTTGTGGGGAGCATACGTTTTTTCCAAGATTTCAAGTCGTTCTGAGAGGGTATTCTATATTCTGGATTGACAGAAGTGAATGAAGGACTCATTATGAGTAAAGATCTAAATGCATAGGGCGGTAACAAACGATGTTGTTGCTCATGAGAGAACTGCACAAAAATTATAATAGATTATTGTAGTAAATTCATATTCATATAAATATTGTTGTTTGAAACAAAACACGCTCCCACAATGCGGTAACAATGGAAAAGTTTCATCTGTACTTGCTTATTATTTTTTTATTAACACAGTAGTCTAGAATACGATTAAGAAAAAATATACCCTCGTCTGTTATTTGATTTTGAGAATTTTTATATGTTCAATAATATCTAGAATAATAATTTTATTGTTTATGAATTATTCTCGACTTTTACTCACATCACATTCAAAATTATCGAACAAATTCAGTACAGTATTTTTTTTCTAGTTAAAGGGCTTTGACAATATATTTCTATTAATATACCCTTCTATTTAGGTAATCAACAAATCTTTTATTATCAATGATCTCTAACTCATTAGCTTTGCCATAATCAAATAACAAAAGAGAGGAAATAGGGATGATGACTAATTTTTGTTTGTTTGTCCGTCAGGTAGAATGTTAAAAAATATTAAACACGTATTTTTTTATTTTTTTCGTAATCATAAAATTACGGCGTTACATTGAGTTGAAATTTCGCATGACGTCACGTTAGAGTACGTTTTCTACTCAACTGTGACGTAGCGAGCCCCCACTCTTCAACTTTAATGCCTGTTATCTAAGCTATTTCTTGTTAAATTGAAGTAAAAAAAAATACGTATCTAATATTTTTCTATTATCTGATTGACGGACTAAATAGAATTGCATTTTTTTTACCCAGTCATCATCCCTATTCTCATATAACTCTTAAGTTAGCGCTTCTACCTATTTTCTTGAGTAGATAGTAAATTTATTTTGCCGTACCTACATTGTTAACGTAAAGATTAGTTATCTGCTGAATAAATGTTGATGATGTTTACAATATTGTCGAAATTAATCTATATATGTAACTAATTATTATTATAACATACTATGTAAACTTAATATTTGATAAAAAGGACGCATAATACGCTGATGACTAAGAAATGTAAGGTAAACAAGTATCACTATCAGTAGTGTTTTTTAAAGATTGTTAATAGGTCAAAATATTTATTTTTGTATGTAATTGTTGTAGTTAGCATCAGTCGAAGAATTTTATCTGTTCAGAATTGATGAAGAGAAATTCTAATAAAGAGTAAGCGAGACAACATACTATGTACTTGTGATTTCCAACACAAAAACTATTTATTTTTCAGCACTGCATAGTTTGTCTCTCAGTATATATATAGGTACACATTTTGGTTACACTTGATCTGTTTGTCACATGTATTTTTGTAGTTGCTGAGATTATATTCCTAAAATAATTAAATTATTTTGTTTTGCTATTTTGTATAGTTATTAGTGAATTTATTTTTAATACAGCTTTCTGCAATAAACAAAATACATTGATAAGGTATTGAAAATATGTAACACACCTTGAAAAAGGCGTAATTAATAAAAATATTTGTATTTACTTTTAACTGTATCTATACGGTAACCTTTGCTCTATTATTATTGTAAATATGACCAAATTTATTCTTAAATACCTACACGAATGATTTAAATACAGGTGCACTTGAACAGGTACGAACAGTCACAACCATATCCGTGATTTGGATACTACCTGGAAGAATCTTAAATCTTTAGTTTTTGCTACTTAAACATTCGAAAGTACGACAATGGAGTATCTACCAGAAGACCCGCTATTAAAGTTTCATCCTGATACATTACATTATGTGAGAAAAACTTATAAATTGGATCATGCAGAATCCATGGCTAAGGCTATTGATACTCTTGATGCGTGGGTGAAGAAACAGGATCATTTTATTAAAAAGGATTACAGTAAGTACATTTTATAGATAGTTAATAGTAATACAATAGTAATATATACTTTTCGAGAATGTTTAATAAATAGGTATTACAATTTTAATAAAATGAAAGTATAATTTAATAATATTGTATGATATTGTAATTGAATAATACTTTTTTATTTAACTATTATAAAATTGACTAATGTTAAAAAAAAAACATTCTAAAATAGAAAAATCACTTGAACGGTAAATCGACAAATTTTTAGGTAAAGATATAATTATAATTATCATATGAACGTGCCGATTATAATCTCGACACGGATTTCATCTTTATTACTATTCTTTTTATTTTACCAGATCGTGACTATTTAGAGAGAACAATAATAAGAGCAGAGGGTTCAGTAGAATACGCGAAAGAGCATCTAGAGAAACTTTGTAAATCAAGAAAATTAGTACCACGTTTCTTTCTCACTGGTGACTTTGGTACCCCTCTTCTTGCTGATAAGTAATTTTTTTTTTCATAATTGTGCATGCATTCCAACGAGTAAGATGTTTGTTAGTTCAGTTACATAATGCATAGAAAAACCACATACAACATTGGAATTATTATAATCTGGTATCAGGAAGGTATAATTCTTAACTACCATTTTTTTGTACTGATTTTTTTTGTATAGCTGTTTTAGAACTAAATTGTTTATCAATATGTTCATTTTTCAGAGAAGATGTATTCTTACCAAAACTAACGAAGGACTACTACAGAGTTTATCTTGCACAAAATAAAATACAAGATTACAAACCAGAAATGAACGATGCCTATTACAAGCGCCTGATTTATGTGAGTAGTTCTCCTCCTTTATTAATTTTACTTCAATTACATACGACAGTTGGCTTTGATTTGGTATACATTGGATTCAATCAAAACGCACCCAATATTTATTCCACCGTTGTAAGCTTACTGCGTTTTGAATCCAATGTTAACACCTTTTCCGTGTTCTGTGGTCGTTACCCAGTAAACCCGCTTGAATAGGGATGATGACTGGGTAAAAAAAATGCAATTCTATTTAGTCCGTCAGTCAGATAATAGAAAAATATTAGATACGTATTTTTTTTTTACTTCAATCTAACAAGAAATAGCTTAGATAGCAGGCAATAAAGTTGAGGAGTGGGGGCTCGCTACGTCACAGTTGAGTAGAAAACGTACTCTAACGTGACGTCATGCGAAATTTCAACTCCATGTAACGCCGTAATTTTATGATTACGAAAAAAATAAAAAATACGTGTTTAATATTTTTGAACACTCTACTTGACAGAGAAACAAACAAAAATTAGTCATCATCCCTATTCGTTTTTTATAGTGCGGAGAGTCAGTAACTGATCTTAAGAGGATATTAAAGGTGACCGTCCATGTGTCAGTGACATCATAAGCATAATGGCAACATCAAAATTGACAGTTGCATTTTTCCCAGAAGCATCCGTGAAAAATGCGACTTTAATGGATGTATGATATAGACAAATAGACGTTCTCCTTTACGGCACCAGCAGGCCGTAAACAGTTTCTATTTAGTTACTCTGAGGACATGTGCAAAAAAAAACAATATCAAGGAATGAAATAAATATTTTATGTTTAAAAGGAAATATGTATAATATTTTCAAGAAGAAATATCATGCATAGATCTTTATCGATCATTTTTTCCTTTAGAAATAAATTCTTTCTTATATCTAAACATACAGCAATGATATGATCTATTAGTGGATAAAATTACAGACTTTTTTTCTAATTATTAATTCCAAAAATATTAAATTTCTGCTAAGCTCACTATTACTTATCTCTTTGCTTGCTACTCTTTTAAATAGCATTTAAAAAAAATGTTCTAAGCATATGTACCAGAAATGCAATATGGCGACAGTATATTACAACAATATGATATTATTTGATAGAAATGGGAATAGGATGGGAATTTTAGAACTTTTTGCGAGGGCTATTCAAATTCGCGGGTATGTTTGATATGTTGAATATATGTAGGCTGATCAACCTTTCGTTTCTCCAGCACATTTCGTGTGTCATAAATATGAGAAATGTACAAGAATTATATTTTGCTAAAATACATTGATTAAATACCTTATTAATTTTAACTCTTATGTAATTAGCACAACATCAACTGAAATTATCTTTTTCCCCTCATAAACAGATGTTAGAATACATCTGCGCTCATGATTATTCTTGCGGATTCATATGGGTCTACGACTTTCGACAAACAAATATGTCCCAGTTTCTTAAATATTTGGACAAAACTGACCTCGGACACTGCTTCAATATTATATTGGTAAGTTTTTGATATACACCCAAAGTTGCAATAATATTATGTCTTGTTCCTGGGGTGGACGAAAAAACAGACAATTGCCCTAAATTATATCATTAAGTGTCGGTTGAAACTAAAAGATACGTTGAGCTAACAATACATCTCTTTATTGTTTCTGTTGAAATTTTGTATGATTTTGAATGACAACTTGTGGGTAAACTCAAATTTAATATACAATAGGGTTGATGTCAATACCAAAATGAAATGTATCCATGGGATCTCTCTGTAGGAACTCTATCCAGTCTATACAGTCATTTTATTTATCTATACAAAATCTGTAGTCCAAGATAATATTCAACAAAAGATTGTATTTAAATAAAATGTTAAGTAATAAGTACCGACGACCTTCACACACCAGTTTCATGATGCCGATATTTTTGCAGACCCAGGTTCGAATCTCGGTCGGATCAATATAGAAAATGAACTTTTCTGTATTGTTTCGGGTCTGGGTGTTATTGTTCCTTCGTTGTCACAAATTTAGCTACTTGTATTGTCTAATATTAAACTATTTATTTATGTACCAGTAACCTCATTAATTTTAAGCTTCCGTATATATTTCCAGAATGCTTATAGCTTCAAGCTAAAAGGCATACATATTATAACAACGTCAAACCTTGTGGATACATTTGTGTCAATGTTGAAAGAAGTAGTGAATAAGGAAGTCCGTGAACGTATCCATGTCTTGAAAGATGTAGAAGAACTGTATGATCATGTCGACAGACATATTTTACCAGAGGAATATGACGGCCAAGAAACATCGATGTCTGAATTATATCGTAAGTAAATAAAAGGAATGAAAGAAATTTCTTTATATAAAACGCATTTTCTTAATATTATACATACGAATGAGCTTGACGGCACGTTCAGTTTATGATGAAGAGGTTAACAAATTATCGCAAGAAACCATCATAACCTGACGAAGGCTGACCAAAAATTTATAATCTAGAGCTCTTTGTGCTTCAGAAAGTATGCCGTTGATCGCTGCTGCATATGTGTATGCGTCTTTCGTATGAAAAATACGCCAATAAATCAAATATCTCTAGATTTACATGAATTTCAAATGTCCTCTTTTTTTTTCAAACGCTACTCGTGTGTTCCGAAAATTCTGTTAACACTAACAATGATATTAGTACGTATGAAATTTACATTTGTGCGGATTTTCTATGAACACTTAAATATATTTATATTTTTTATTACAGATAAATGGGTTGATATACTGGGCTCAAAGGATTATAATAAGTATATGGAAGATATGAATAAAGCGAAAACAAAAGACTAACTCAAAATTAAGGATGATCTTAAAACTATGGACTGAACACTACTAAGGACACTTCAAGCTCTCGATGGAGGCAATGTTTAAAATTGTTGCGTTAAAAAGTTGTTGCGATATTTTATAAAAATATTTTTTAGGTATCTATTGGACCATTTAAAACCAAAATGTAGATGAAACTAAACAACTGACCATCCACAAATCGATAGCTATAAGATATTTTTTATATCAATGATTATATTCTTTGTAATGATGTAATTTATAACTCACATATCAATAAATTAATCAATATACTATTTCAAGTTTTCATTTAACTAGCAATATTAGTTGGTTAAAATGGGTCAAATCTATTAAAATACGCACTTTTGGTTAACAACTGACACCTTTTTTTAATTTGACACAATCAAAATATTACATTAATAAATCAAAGATGGCGCTACTTGTCTTAAGAAACATTTTTGTATATAATTATAACACCTCTACTTAACAAAATATTTCTAAAAGGTAACTAAAGTAATAATTAATAATCTTAAATTGTAATAAGGAACGAGACCTATCATTCCTAAAAATTTATAATGCTTTACTGATAATAAACCTTTGGTTGAGAGATCAACAGGCATATCTAGAGTTGACACATATTTTACATGAATTACATTATCCTTTAAAGCATCTTTAATATGCCCAATCGGCATCTACAAAACCTTCTAATTCTATATTACTATCCTTGCTATAATTTAAACAATAATGTTTTGTATTTCGTAAATATTTTAACACTCTTTTAGCTTGATTAAAATGAGTTTCATTATAGCAATTATTAAATTGACTTAGGTAACTAATGGAATAAGCTATGTCAGGTCTTTGATAAGGATTCAACTTACATTCTATAGGAGTATCAATAGATCTATAATTGAACATTTCGAATTTATGTAACAACTGTTCTATATATTGTTCTTGATCTATTTTTACAGTATTTAGTTTTCTGCCTACATGTACTTTCATACCTAAATAACGTTTTACATAACCTAAATCTTTTCTTTTAAATTCTGAGTTTAAAACAGTTTTCAAATTATCATTTTCCTCTCTACAGTTTTAAAATAAAATAGGTAATCATATAAGCTCATGAATCAGAACTTGAACTAGACGGAAATTAATTTAATGTTAGTATCCTCCACTGAATATCTGTTCTCTATACTAGATACTTGCATATTATGTGATGTGTCAGTCACTTCTCTTTGCGTTAAGTTCTGTTCATCATTCTGTATCCATATCGCATTTTCTTCAGGAATTTCAATTCCATGCTTTCCTTCCATCACTATTATGTCTCTCTTTTCAGTGACAACATTTTTCTTTGGATCATAGACCCGATATCCTTTTACAGAATCTGAGTATTCAACCAATATAAATTGTTCAGCTTTCTTATCCCACTTCAATCTTTGTTCTTTGGGGACATGTACCATCACCGGATTTCCAAATAGATGTAAATGGCTTGAGTCAGGCTTTCTTTGATGCCATATTTCATAAGCTGTTTTGTTTACTAAACTAGGTCTATCACATCTGTTTTTCAAGTAAACTGCAGTATGAACCGCTTCTGCCCAAAATTTATTTTCATGGTTTGCCTCAATAAAGCAAACATCTGCCTTTTTCTACAATAGTTCTGTTGGCTCTCTCGCTGACACTATACTGCTCAAGGGCATATGCAGTAGTCCTTTGATGAATTAAACACAAACTCAAACTCATTTATTGCTTTCATGTGGTGAAACAGATGTTGTTTTTTTTTTATGTACCTTGACATGAACCCTGATAAGGGCACTGCAACAATAGTTACATTAAACTATAATTATCATAAAATCAAATTAAATATAATATAAAGTATGTATCATGCATAACAATAAAATAATAACAAAATTAAAAAGTTTTTTTGCATCCAAATTGTCATTACTAATATACTGTTATATAATTATATTTAAAAAAAAAAAAAAAAAAATTCACTGTTTATATATAATTATCAAATTATAAATTAAAATTTAAAGGGGTGGAAATGAATGTATAGAATTACTTCCCGTGTCACTGAAAAACTCCTGTAGCGAGTAGTAGCATTTTTGTGATAGATATTTTATTAGGTTATTTTTGAAAACATTAATGTTTTCGATTACTTTTATATTGTCGGGAATAGCGTTATATATCTTGACGGACATAGAATATGGTCCTGTGTTTACCATTTCTAGTTTTGATACTGTTTTTTCCAGCTTGTATTTAGGTCTTAACCTCGATGGGCGGGACTGTATAGGGTATAAATTTATATTTTTTTGAACTGCTAGACCTTGTTGCAAAATATATATAGATGTAAGAGTTAAAATATTAAATTTTTTGAAAAAAGATCGGCAGCTAGTCAAAGAATCTATATTTGCAAGTATTCGGATACATTTTTTCTGTAGGGTAAATGCCTTTTTAGCATCAGTACTGTTGCCCCAAAGCGTAATGCCGTAGCTGAGCCAAGCATGTGCATATGCATAGTAGGCAGAAGTAGCAGTTTGAAGATCTGTAGATTTTTTTAATTCCGAAAGAGCATATGTAAAACTAGACAATTTACTAGTAATTTTTTTTACGTGTTCTTTCCAGTTTAAATTGCTGTCTATAATTATTCCTAAAAGACTATAGGAATCGACTGTTTCTAAAAGTTTATTATTAAATTTGTAATTAACTTCTAAGGGTTTCCTTTGGTGAGGCCTGAATTGCATCAATTTTGTCTTTTTTAAATTAATTTCAAGGTTATGATACTTAAGCCAACTAGTTATCAATGCAAAATTGGAATTTAATAATTCGTTTAATTGTGTGGTATTTTGACATGGTATTATTAAGGATACGTCGTCTGCAAAAAGGATACATGGAATATCTAGCAGACTGGGCAAGTCATTAACGTAAATTAAAAATAACAGACATCCGAGGACACTACCTTGGGGAATGGCATGATTTAGAAAAACTTTGTCAGATCTCAAAATTTTTATTTGTCCAGTTTGATGGTCATAGGACTCTATGTCAACATATTGAACTCGTTGTTGTAAATATGATGTAAACCACTCGTGTGCACTACCTCTTATTCCTATGTTAGAAAGCTTACTCAGAAGGATTGGATAAGAAACCCTATCATAAGCTTTACTCAGGTCTAGCAAAACACCAACAGCGTGCTGTTTATTGCCAATTATTTTCAATAATTCATTGACATATGAATTTACTGCCAGTCCTGTAGAACGTCCTTTACGAAATCCATACTGATTGATATGGAATATTTGATACTTCTCACAATATGAGTAAACCCTTTTATACATAATTGTTTCGAATATTTTTGAAAAAGAAGTAAGAAGCGCTATTGGTCTGTAATTATTGCAGCAGGTTTTATCGTCTTTTTTATGTAGTGGTTTAACAATGCTTACTTTTAGTAGTTGCGGAACAAATCCTTGGGCAAGTGACTGATTTACTAAGAATGAGAGTGGCTCTGCAAGTTCATCTGCACACGATTTTATTAATGCCGGTGGTATTTCATCAAATCCGAAGCTGTTTTTATTCTTTAATTATTTTATTACTGCATTTATTTCATTGCTATCAGTGGGATATATAAATATAGAATTTTCTTTACGAGCAGCAATTTGCGAAGGAATATGCAGTGTGGATGCTCCCACTGACGAGAAGTACGTATTAAAGTGGTTCGCAATCTTTACTGGATCATCACTGAGCGAATTATTAATATTTAGTAATAAATTCTGTTTCTGTTTATTTTTTGTTTTATTTGTTCGTTCTCTTACTATTTGCCACATACTTTTTGTAATATTTTCCGACTTTTTAATTGTATTTTTATACTGTAATTTTTTTGAGACATAAACTGTTCTTTTTAATATTTTTTCATATAGTTTATAGTGCTGTTTTAAAACAGTATTATTTGATTTTAAAGTTAATATTTTGAGTAGACGTTTATTTTTGCATGATATTCTTAAACCTTTTGTTAACCAAGTGTTTTTATTTTTATTTTTTAATTTAATATTAATTTTTGGAATAGTATTGTTGAGAACGTGCTGTATTTTTTCATGAAATAAATTAAAATTATCATTTACTTTTTTATCTCGTTTAATTATACCTTCATTTGCAAAAAAAATGTCCATTACACCATCATAAAATATCCCTCTATTGTCAGTTCGAAGTATCTTGATTTTTCTGTTTATTTGGTTCTCAACCATATAAAATCCTCAAACCTCTGGAAACTTAATTTTTGTGTTTAAGAAAATAAATGAATGTAATCTTACTGTAGTCATCCATAAGAAGCAAGACGAATCGTGAACTGCCATTTGACTTTGTCTCCATTGGCCCACACACATCTGCATGGATTAACCTTGTTCATTTGCCTTCAGAACAGGTTATACAGTTCTCCTTCTTTGTGTCACTAGGAGAAGAAAAATTCACTCCTACAATACTGTTTCTCATTTTACTCAAATCACCACTATTGATATGTGCTCATAATTCTGCACTTGCCAATGCTGGTACTGCTAACATATACGTATAATCTGTTCTTTTTAAATTCAACTCGTATACACCATTTATCAAATATGCAGTGACTACTATATCACTCTTCATATTTCAAATATAGTAATTGTTAATTTCAAACACAACTTTGTTGTCGTTTTTTATAAGTACACTCACTGACAGCTCACGAGTAGCTCGGTGGCGTAGTGGATAAGCGCCGCGGCCTTTATCTCGAGCTACTCCGTGCTTCGGAAAGCTCGTTAAGCCGTTGGTCCCGGCTGCTTTGGCAGTCATAAATACCCTCCAATCCGCATTGGGCCAGCGTGGAGGGTCATAGCCCATCCTCCTTAACCATCCATAAGAAAGGCCTGAGCCCCTGCAGTGGGGACGTAAAAGAGCTAATGATGATGATGACTCACTGATAACAGGTTTGTTGACAATTTTGGAATACATAATACATTCTTGACAGTAATCTCGCAATTGCGATCTGAAGTTAT